GAACTGAACTTCAGCCAGCCATAATGATAATTCGATTTAGCCGACATGATATTGACAAGCAGACGAACAGCAGCAGAAGCAGCAACAGCAACAGCAGCAGAAGCAGAACCCAAATGACAAGCGCAGGGCAGCAGCAAGTGAGGTGAAATTGCTCGCAATAAAGTTGATCTGAACTGGGCAGTGAGTGAGTGTAGGGTATAGTTAGGAGTATATAGTAGTTGCTCGCAGTTCTACTGGCAAGTAAGTATGTAGTTAGCCAATCTCGCATGGCTGCCACAAGGAAGCCACAGAAAAGAAGTATGGCCTGGGCAGTTATTTGGTTGGCTTGCTTGTCACTTTGGCTGTGGCGCTCTCCACAATGGCTGTTGTTTACGAGTGGCAACAACTTGCCGCTTCCTCTAATGGCATTGCTGCAACATGGCGATGTGCAAATCAGTTGTTGCCACAAATGTACACTGTGAGAAAAATTTGCAATCAAATATCGCAACGACAAAGTTTTAAGGTAGGGCTGACAAAGAAATACTTTATTAATACAAATAATAAAGTTTTTTTAATTAATAAAAATAAAGTTTTAAAATTGGAACTTACTAAACTTTCCTAACTTAACATCGCTAATCTAACGTAGTCAGCCTAACCTGAACGCATTGCGCCCATATTATTGCGTTATGCGAGGAATGAAGCAAACCTATTGATTGGTCACCAACAAATGTACCAATCCGACAGGTTTTCCACTTTTCCAAGTCTCGACTGAAGGACGCTGGATCTTACGTCGTATTGTGGAGATAAAAATCGAAAAGAATTGTGATGATTCAGAATTTACACTTTATTAGGCTAGTGGTAACCGCTTCGTGGCAAATACTTGTCAGAGAAGGGCAGCGTTTGCCGTTGGCTTAAATTCGCGAAAACCAAACTTACTCTCCGATGGCCCCTTTTGGGGCCTTAAGAAACGTATACAGTCAGTTGAACAGTATTTGTTTGCGAACCTCTCACAGCGTGTTATAGTTACTGATTGTCTCTCGCTAAATTCTTCCAATTCAGAAATGCATAACTCTTGCAAATAATGACAACCATCTGCTTGTGGTTATTTAAAAAGATATATATTGGGTATTCATATGGCATGTATGCTTTTCACCGTATGCTTTTCACCGTATGCTTTTCGATTCTGAGCTTTTGCAGACATGAAGCTCATCAATATGTCACAAGACAGCTGCAATGGCTTAAATGTAACCAGTCCCATGGATCCACTAGCGATTTCTTAAAACACCCGCTTGTTAATACTTTATTCATCTTCTTTTTAGTTGTTTGTATTTCCGACAGGGTAGGAGTATGATGTATTGTGGAACGATTTTCCGACATCCCTAGTAAAATTTGGTTTGGAGACAAACCGGTTTCGGCGTTGTGCCGTCTTCAGTGAGATCGAAAACTGACACTGAAGATGGCACAACGCCAAAACCGGTTTGTCTCCACGCTAAATTTGACAAGGGATGACGGAAAATCGTTCCATAATACATCACTTTATTCATCCTTATAAAAAGAGATCACACCCTCTAAACTTTCTTCTAATTTGCTTGTTTTTTCGTGTCTTCGCGATTTTCTGATTAAACCAGTATTTTACTGAGGCCAGAAATTTATTCCCAAACTTCTTCGTCCGCTAATTTTTAACTTAATCTTAATCCTAATCTCAATCTTAATCTTAATCTTAATCTTAATCTTAATCTTAATCTTAATCCTAATCGTATTATTATCATGAGCCTTGAGAACTGCTACCTCTAGGGTGGTCTATTGTATGTGGCCCTTTACCCTATACGTCAAGGCTTTTAATATAGGCTAGCACTTCGGTGGCTAGCACCTAGGTGAGGGAATCTGCGTCTAGCTAGAGAGCAACACATTCACAAAAGATGTGTTCTGGGGTTTCTTCCTCCATCTCACAGAAGCGACAGACACTCGTGTCTGAAACATTAATTTTACTGAGGTGATAACGCGGGGAACAACGTCCCGTCAAGTACCCAGTGAGAATCCTAATCTTTATCTCAATCTGAATTTTTATCTTAATCTGAATCTTAATCCTTGTCTAAATCTTAATGTTAAGATTAACGTCAATCTTAATCCTAACCTTAACCTTAACCTTAATCTTAATGCTAATCTTAATCCATATAATATATATATATTATAAACCTTAACCTTAATTAATATCTTAATATGCATTTATCTTAATCCTATTCTTATTTTTAACTCTGTCTTAACCTTAATCTTAACCGTAACTTTAACCTTAACCTTAACCATAATTTTCCCCTTCCTTCCTTTTATTTTTATCTGTTCTCTATTTTTTATTTATCTTTATCTGCATCTTCCTTTCCATCGGCATCTTCCTCTTCGTATTCATCTTCTTCAATTTTCATCTCTTATCTTCACCCTCATCTACCACTAACCACTCGTTCGCTGTAGCCATACATATCGCACACGATCTTCAAAAGTGACACAACTCAAAATTTGTCATTTTTGAAACTATGCACTCAAATTGTACACATAGCTTTTATTTATCTTTCAGCAAAAGCTGGAGCAAATCTTTGTTATAATTTGTTGAAAAAACCTAAGGCAAAGTCTTCCTTGGCTATACGATTAGCATGTGCTAAGAAATAGGTTTTTGCTTTTTCTGACGAACGTGTAATTTTGAGTTGTGTCTTTTTTGAAGACGGTGCGCGATATGTATATACATACAATGCACTACACTCACCGTGGCGTTAAATATTTAACTTAAAAAACTGAAACGTTATTTGACATGCATAGTCATCAATAATGATATTCTATAGGAAGGTATAAGGGCCCACCGTTTATAATGGTTTTGTAACTGATGAGAGTGAAGCTTCCACGAAGAGTTTCAAACTTAACCTAAGCTAACCTAACTAATTTAAACTGTGGTAGGAAGGAATGAGGAAGTCTAACTTTCTTCCTATAAAAGGTACGAATTTTTTTCAGTGTATCCCTGTAGGTAGCTACAAATGTATGTAGTACATTAATTCAAATATTAAGCGCTTGCATGCACATTTTAGCATTTCAGCCCTCAGAAACAAAGCGCCTCATAAACAACAAACCAACAACAACAAAAGCGGTAGACGTTGCCAAAGTCAAATGGCGACAACAAATGCAAAATCAACGTCAGCGAAGGAGACCGAAGCCAAAGTCGACGACAAAGTCGGTGGCAATTGTTGCCAGTGCTGTTGTTGTTGTTGTTAGTTTATTGTCGCATTTTGTTGTTTTACACATGCATAAACAAGTTTGCATGTTGTCGGCCATTGTTGTAACAACAACAAAAACAAAAGAACAAAACGAGCAGCATTGTAACACTTGCGAGAGAACACACAAAAACAACTTTACTTCTTGGCTGTTTAAAGCTTAAAGCGCTTAGTCAAAAGCGACGGCAAAAATGCAAAATGCAAAACATTTTTACAAACTCCACCCCAAAAGTTAAGTTTTTACTTACCAACGGCGAATAGAACGCCGAACTATCCACGCCAATGCTTTGATAAGGATTCTGATCTGTCGAAGGATAAGGCGTGCCATAGACGCCAACACTCGACGCTGGCAAGCGGGAGTAGCTCGAGAGCGCCAAACGTGCGGAGTCATATTGACACGAACACACTGTCTGTCCGGAGACGGGATCTGTCATAATTGGGCGTCCATTCTCGCAGCAAGAACCACCAACACCAGGTCCGCCGACACCCAAGCCCGCCACACCAGCGCCATCGAGTGCACCGCCGCCGGCAGGATTATTAATACCGCCACTACCGCCGCCGCCGCCGCCGCCACCAGTTGTGTTATTGGAGTTTTGCGAGAGCGCATCTGGACTCATTGCGCCGCTGGGCACATCAGCTGAGCCGCCAGCTCCGGTGTTCACACGACACTCGCCGCCCACATTCGAGGGGCTGAGCGCAGGCGCATTCGCACCACCGGAAACTGGCATTGACGAGGGGTTGGGCGTATTTGGTGAATCGCCAGTTTGGGGCGATTGTGTGAGGTTGGCGGAGATGAGCTGGAAGAAAAGAAGAAAATGTCATTAACTATTTTGATGAGGGGAATGCGTAACAAATAAATATTTCTGTAGTACAAATTGACAACAATACGCGCAATTAGTAAGTGGACTTGCTTACAAGAAAGAACACCATTTACCCTCCTAATGAACAGAATAGCGGCTATCTGCTGCTCGAAAGACATGCTTGTGCAGGTAAACTGTTTTTCTTTTCTTTTTTTTTAATAAATTAAGAAAATCTTGATAGAAACGGCTTCCTCACCGATAAGCTTCTGAGTTACGATTATCGTTCTTCGTCGTTAATTCCATCGCCAGCACGAACAGCAAATCAAGTGATCGAACATTGATTGTGTGTGTCCAAGCGTCGCGTTGATCAACACGTTTACATTATAATCGCGTGTTAATTAAAAGCATCATCATAATTCTCGTTTCGGACACCTACCTAATCGTACACTAGTGGTGAGGGAAATTACAAATTCAAATTGTTTTTGATTGGAACTATTTTATTGGAATTGTGGGGAATTATGGGAATTGTTGTCTAATCAAGCAACAAAATGGTTGCGTAAAGGCAGGTGTGTACGAGTACATATGTATGTCTGTTCAAAATAAAAGAAAATACATAGATATCTAAATACATACTGTGTACTATTGAGAGGTCAGCTAAGGTCGAGCACAAAAGACGACTCGGTTCCTATCAAATATGTAAATTATTAGCTGATCACTGCTTGAGAGAGATGTGTCTCATCAAAGTGGTATTTCGCACCTCTAACCACTCAGGCACAGCGGCCAACTCGTATTACGAAGAAGATCAAAACTCTTCGAATTATGAGGGTTATCTGAACAAAGACCAAAGAAATCTCTTTGGAAAATTTCTTTTCGAAAGCCACAGATCGATAAATCCAGACCAACAGATCCTCTTATTTTGATATTGATGTCAAAACATCCAATAGGCAAATGGTACCCGGTGTTTTATGTAGAACATTAAATGGAAAGCTGGGCTCTTTTCTTAACAGGAAAAAAGGTGTTCGCGTTTGCGTATAAGGTCCTTTATAAGAACCGTTTTTTTCCACCAGGAATAGGTGCGGACAAAACATAGCACAATCAATTTTTTAAATTTTTTTTGTCCCACCTTTGAATTGGATTGGAATAGTGGATCGTCGATGATGCCTATGGTGACCATATGTCGTCCCCATGGATTGTGAACCGTAATCACTCCTATCAGGGCTTGTTTATGAGATCCTTAATGTCCCCGATCGTTAACGCTATGCTCGCCCCTAAAATTGGCTCCGGTCCAATTGGACGCTATATCGAACCGCAGTTCGCCAATTCATCTGCCAGTTCGTTACCTTGAATACCATAGTGTCCTGGCACATGCACAAGTTCAAGTTCATTCCACCTTTTAACGGAGTTCAGCCTCCAGTGCTTTTCAAGGCCTTTAGAGCAGTTTGGCTGTCACTGCAGGTCCTAATCCAATTATCCAATCTGCTACTTTCAGTATTGCAAAGTCTTCCAATTGAAAGACCGTTGCCATTGTGCCCAAAGCGGTAAAGTACTTATTTGAAATTACCGTCCAAATGCCATCCAACTCAAGTACCGTTTTCAGTTTTTGTGCCGTCGGTATAGAAAGTTTTCACCGAGCTTCCAAAGACAGTTTCTGGATCTCCCCATTGTTGCCTTGTAGAAAATCTAACGACGTACTTTCTTCCAAAGGAGACTACAGGTAACAGGTAATTGCTCTGACAAACTTCTCAACAACTCTCTGTGCCTAGAACTCCGATCGTCCTGCCACAGACTAAAAGAGTGCAGTCGACACATCGGTTGAGACCTTCCATTTTTCTCTTCCACGTAAACAAGACTAGGGTTGTCTTGTTCGGATTGACCTGATGACAGTGCCCAAACCATCATCCGCGAAATCATTCATTCAGAGTCTTTCAAAATACTTGGAGAAAATGGCTATAATAACTTTTTTTCCTTCCTGTAGAATTTTTAAACTATACTTATACTAGACATGCTAATGACTTCCGTTCGGGACGTTTCTCCTTATTTGTAAGAGTATATTTGTATGCACTTCTGGGTAGATAAAAACTACTCATATGGAAATCGAAAAGCAATCTTGAATTCAAAAAATTATAATTATAATTATACCCATTACGTTGCTATTTTCCAAAAGTCTAGCCAGTCGTTCAAGCCGCAAGCTGGCAATTATGCATTTCAGTGGAAGATTCTACAGCAACTCTGGCCGTCGCACATTTAGCGCGAGTTTGACTTGCGCCGAAAATTTCGAAGGCGTTGCGCTGAGCTTTAGGCATAAATTGCTACGCCCCGATGCGCCTTAGTATTTTTAATATTTTTCATTAGCCTACATATATGTACATATGTATGTGGATATGTGTTTGTGCCATATCTAGTGCAGCAAGTCAAATTCGACAGCTTTCGATCAAAAATTTTTTTAGTCGGTTACGCTACAAAAATTTCGGACGCTCAAAAATTTCGCTTAATTATATGTTTGCGAAATCGAGGCCACAAAATGCAGTCGGCCAAAGCTTGAGCATATGTATGTGTGTGTACGAGTAAGATTTTTGTATATTTTTTTTATATTTATTTTTTGTATATTTGCGAACGCTTGCTTGCCGGCATTTTAATTTTTGGCATCCAATTTTATTTCATTTTTCATTATACCCGAGCGCACTTGTGCACAAGGGTATATTAATTTTGTTCACATAACGGTTGTTTGTAACAGCCAAAACGAATCGAGATAGATATAGACAAATGTATACATAAATGATCAGGATGAAAAAAGAAATCGATTAAGCCATGTC